TAAACCCAAGCCCCAGCCTAAGCCCGAGCTTGAGCCTGAGCCTGAGGTCATGGATGTTCAGGGGATTTGAAAATTCTGGCACAGCCGATAAGGGGGCGATGAGGGGATGATTGGTGTACCAGCAGCAGATACCCGAACTAACAGAAGAGTATATTTTAGTTTTGCATATATTTTGTAGATTTGTTGTGTCTTTCATAAGCGGGTTCTCTCTCACGGGTCTCATGGTCTAGTGGGTGTGTCGGCGGAGTGTCTGGGGGAGAGATGAATGGTATTCGAACCTGCCTTGGATGATTTTATTTCTTTGCTTGGTCCAAAGATTCCTCTTGGCATTCCAAAGACCTTTAATGGCTTTTAGGCATTCACCAGGGCCCAGGGAAGGCTTCTTTGTAAAGAAAAAAAATCCTAATTCTAAAATTTTTTGAAATTTCGAGGAGTTGGCAAGGTAACCATAGTAGATCAAGTTCAAAGAAAAATAATTTTGATTATTTTCATGCAGCTTGGGATACGATAAAGTGTTGATAAGCAGATTGCCAGCCTTCTGAAAGTTTCCCTAAAATTTTTTGAGGAGGCATGAGCACAGGCAAAAAATGTTAAATTTTTCGCAAAGCTCGCTTTATTGGGTGGCAACGCTTCCCGGTTCCTGGTGAATGCCTAAAGGCCATTAAAGGTCTTTGGAATGCCAAGAGGAATCTTTGGACCAAAAAGCAAAAAATAAAAACCATGAGCGGGTTCGAACCCTTGATAGATTCCCCAAACGCCGCCGACTACACCACACTTAGACCACCAGACCACGCTGATGGGGAAGGGGAGGGCTTATGAAGGTTGGCGAAAAATCTGCAAATGCATGCAAAAACTAAAAATGCTTATAACTTTGTTAGTTCGGGGTATCTGCTGCTGAAAGTTACACCCAATCGATTTGTCTCGTCGAGCTCTATCAGTGTGCAAATTTCAAATCCGAATTCGATTCCGAGCTGAGACCATCCCCTTGTGAGCTTAAATCCCAAGCCCGGTGCGTTTTTGTCTACTACAAACTAATAACCCTAAAAACGCTAGAATTTTTGTTAGATAGGTTCAGTTAGATAAGTTACCCCACTGAAGTTACCACCCTCCCCCCGCTAATGATCTAGTACCTCGGATTGCTCCTCCTTTCCACCCACAGTGCCCATTTTGAAGCGCCCCAAAAAATGGGCGTTTCAATATGTTCATAAAAAATCTAATGTGCGCCATCGCGCGAGGGGCACAAAATAGGAAACGATGTGTTGGTGAGGGATGGCTATGGTATGTGTGTGTTGGGGTGTTATTTAGAATGGCCCCGCCACGCTGCTGCCAATTTCATATATACGTGGTTGGTGTGGAGGGGGAAGCGGCGGTAGATGGAATGCTTTCTGGAAGCCGGGCGGAATAGGGCCATCCATTGGAATTCGGCACTGGCCCGCAGGGTGTCGAAAGGAATTGGGCGGAACCGAAATGTTCTTGGAAGAAATGGGAATGGAAGGGGTGAAATTCTTAAATAAACGCTGCAAGCTAGCCCTGGAGTCCGTCTCCTCAGAGTATGATCAAATTTCCGAAAAATCGCCGCTAGACTGCTTATCTGGTCTGTTGGAGTGCTCGAAGGATCTCTGCCACCCTGCCCGGGAGATCAGTTCGTTTTCTCGGCTTTAATTTCGGTCGTTCAATTCGCAAAAAAGCTCTGCTCAATTGCCTTCGATTTAAAGCTGAGCAAAAACATTTTGTTTACAATAGCTAGGTCCAAAAATCAGCAAAGAAAGCCGTGGATTGCCTGGAAATTGGGTGCAGCAAAATATACTTATACCCAGCCCGGCCCCCAAGTTTTGTAGCTAACTTTTGTAAGCTCCCCGTCGGTCTACGGGAGTCTAAGGTATATCAAAATACCAAGGCGAACATTTTGGTATTTTTGGTATATTATTACGGCTTGGAGGCGGGGCTGCATTTAAATCACCGTATCTCGGCTCTCAATTACGCTACAGGGACGTAAACTATACCAAAATGCTCGCCAGACCAAGACGAACATTTTGGTATACCATACATTTTTGTAGCGCAACGAGGATCGTAATAAAAAACGTACTTGTCGGCGGGCGTTGCTGCAGCTGCGCCTCGTGCGTATCAATAGTCCGTCGCCGGAAAGCGTCACTTGTTTCCTCGCGGAATTCGGCGGGCCCCGGCTGGTGATGTTGATGATGATGATGATGGTTCTGGGCAGAGGTGGAGGGTCTTCGCGCTTCGTTCCGTGCCTCGTTTAGGGTCGCGTAGCCGTCACTGAGCAAAGTGGTAGAGTCAGGCGGCGCAACTGATGGACCGTATCATTCTCTCACCCCGATCGGGATCTGTTTATTCTTCGATTTATTCACCCCCGCGGGACCCCCAGGAATTTTCACACCCACGCCCCACGATTCCTGGAAGTTTTGGCAAAGCCCCAAAACTATACTTATACTTTCGAAAATGTCGATATTTACGGGCATTAAATTACGGTAATAGTTGCTTAACGAGGAGGGGGGAGAAAATTTTATTATTTTTATTAGACACTGCCTTTGTGCTTTGGCTCAAAAATATTAACGTTTATTGAATAGTTTAAAAACACCACTTTACCGTACGTGCGTACAGCACAGTACTGTACTTCAACGTGACACTAAGGCTCAAAAAATTTACTTATTGGCCGCCCACAAATAGGCGCGGGTGAGGACGCTGGTGTCATAGTAGATCCAGTCGGGCAATTTCATCCCGGCCCCGCCTGGCACGCTCCCTTTAAAGGTATTTGGGCATGGCTTAGGCATCAGCTTCAAAAGCTCAAAGTGCTTTCAAAGGGGCTTGTAAGGTAGAGGTATTAAAGCGGTAGTTCAGACATTATTACCTATACACCTATTTACGCAAAGAGCGAGGGTGAGCGATCGAGAGAGGGCGATGGAGAGAGAAGAGCGAGAGCGATAGAAAGAAAGAAAAGAGCGCCAGCGCGAGATAGAGAGAGACAGAGATGGTGAGAGCAAGGTGTACGCATAAAAACACCTAAACATCCGCTTTAATCGATTAGCCGCGTAAAATTCCGAAATGATGCGAATCGAATGCCGGTGGAATTTGGGTGGCGGTAAGCAGGGCGGATGGGAAGGGATTGGGGCCCTCGAAACAAGTTGTCACACACAACATTCATTGAGAGGGGCCAGCAGCAGCAGCAGCTAGAGGAAGGACACACGGTCAAGCACCCAACCAACGCCCTATCCATCCATCCTACACAAGCAGACACCAACCGCCCGTTCATCTGCGGAAAATTGTGATCACATCATTTGGGCTTAGCTTAGACGTAGCTTCTTTTCAGGTTTAGGTTTGGCTTGGGCTTAGCTTGGGCCTAGCTTGGGCTTAGCTTGGGCTTTGGCTTCGCTTTGGCTTCGCCTTGGCTTCCCCCTGGCTTCCCCCTGGCTTCGCTTTGGCTTCGCCTTGGCTTCCCCCTGGCTTCCCTGGCTTCGCTTGGGCATCGGCTTAGCTTAGCTTGGGCTAAGCTGCTGCTGAGCTTAGGATTGGCTTTGACTTGCCTGGCATTGGACTTGAGCGTGGGCCTAGCTTAGGTTTATACGTAGCTTGAGCGTGGGCATAGCTTAGACTTGCTTGGCCTGGGAAGTAGGCGTGGACGTGTCATAGGCTGCGACGTGGGCTTGGGATTGAGCTTGGGTTTGAGCTTAGGCTTAGCTTTGGCTGAGGCTTAGCTTCGGCTTAACCTGTTTATTAAAGGAGCTTTGAAGCCAGGAATGCGCGCCTATCACTCCTCCGAAATACTCTTTGCTAGCCTGCCTTGCATTTCAACGGGCCGAAAAGCCAAAAGTAAAAAATCCTAGTTAATCCCAGCCATGTAGCAGAGATTCCTTGAGTCATATACCGCTCCACTCCTATTTACATCTCGTAATCAACCGTTTTTCAAGGGAGAATGGGTGTGGATGTGGTGAGGAGGGCAGGGAGAAGTCGAACTCAAAAAGTTGAGTGGGTAGGTATTTTTAGAGGGAGGGAGATAGGGAGAGAGAGAGAGTGAGAGAGAGAGCACAAAACAGTCCACAGCACTTACCACGGATAAACCTTGTATTGACTCATTGGTGTGGCTGTGATGAGGGGTGATGAGAGTCTGCAGCAAGCTTCCTCGTAGTGGTCAAGCCAAGGCGAGAGAGATAGAGAGAGACGGCGTGAGAAGCAGAGTGATCCCAGAGCCGAGTTCCCTCGGCTGTCAACCGTGTCCCTCCCCCTCTTCTTCTATTTGCCCCCTATTTGCCGGGGTGTTTTTGTGGGGACTCGTCAGATGGGGGTGGGGCCCACGTTGGCCCTCTCACCTTCTCTCACAACAAAGCTCATCCATAGCCCTAGGGGGCATTCCCATGGCCCGAGGAGGGCACATAGCCACACAGCCACCAATTGGCCATTCTGAAGCTGTCACAGGGAATGGGGGAGAAGCATTGGAAACGGATGCCAATGCGAAATAATATTATAGAATTGTGGGATCGGGGTTTGGAAGCATATCTCTCTCGCTGTCTATCTCTTTATCTCTCTCCATTTATCCCTCTCTCTGGCTCTACATCTCTCTTTCGCTGTCTCTCTCGCTATTTATCTCTCTCTTTCTCTCGCTGTCTCTCTCTCTTGCTCTCATCCTCGCTCTCTCCTATAAATACCCAACCGCTCTTTACATTGCCAATTACCAAGAGTAATCCTTCACACCCGGGCGAAAGAGGTTCGATGCCTCCCATAATAAATTCTGAAACGAAGCGGTCACGAGAGAGCGAGAAAGAGAGACAGAGAAAGAGAGAGAGAGAGAGAGGAGAGAGAGGAGAGAGAGAGAGAGAGAGAGAGAGAAGAAAGAAAGATAGCTAGAAACCGAATTCCAGAAGAGATCCCTCCCCCCATTGCTAGTCAATGGGAACGCGGTGAAAAATTAATGCCTTCATTACGGGTCCGTTGGGGGGTATAGGGGGAAACGCTATCGGGTGGAATTCGAAAAACCGCGCAGGCTAGCAGAAATCATCGGCTAAATTTAGACAAAACTTTCATAATTAATGCTGTTCCACGCCCTTTAAGACCCAACCAATACACACCTATCAGCCCGGCTGTCCATGGAGCGGAGGTTCTTCTCGATGCCCAGCCCTACGATACGCTCCACGAAACACAGCCACGCGGAGAGCTAAATGGAGTTTCAATAATGCGCGGATGGTGGTTGGCTCACCAGACTTTCGCGTAGGTTATCCCCCTTACGCGTGGCGACGAACAGGGCCCCGACGCTGGCGGCGACTTCACGGCCTTCCGCTTCGAGCTCTTGCTCCTGAAGCAGGTTGTTACTCACAAGTGAGATACGTCCAGGATCCCGACAGCCAAAATACCGACAAAGTCCCGACTTATTTTTGACCCTAGTTTCAATTCTACATCACGTCGGTATTTTGATCTGCCGGTATTTTGGCTGTCGGCATTTCAACTATCGGGATTTCGACGTTTTACCCCGACAAATGAAATGCAAATCAGGTTCTCAAAAATCCATGACAAAACGGGGCAAAGCGCTCGAGCAAGAGAATTCAAAACCCCTTACGAGCTCACTCTCCGTCGACCCATCCTGAACCGCGATGAGCAGGATCGGACTAAAAATACATTTTTATGGGGATACTCAGTGGATCATCTACCGTAGCTCCACCGATTCCTCCTCGTCCGGTAGCAGTCGACAAATTGCCGCCCGAACGCACGCCCACGAAGCCCGTCTCCTGAAGATTACGGTAGGTTATAACATTTTTGGATTTTAAATATTCTCCTTATGCTCGATTTTTAGGCTTAAAATCACAGCCGACCTCGTCGAATAGACCAGCGCGTGGCCGTGCGTCGCGTACGCGTGGCGTGCGGCCAGCCATCCGTGGACCGAACCGACGCGGAGGTCGACCTTCAGTCGGCGCTCCTCCAGCTCGACCATCATTGGCACGACACTGGCTGAAAAGGAAGTGGTAATTGAGTTGGTAGTAAGCTTGAGCTTAAGTAAGCCAAGCCCTAGCCAAGCCTAAGCCAGACCTAAGCCGAGGCGACGCCAAGCCTAAGTCTAAGCCTAAGCTAAGCCCAAACGTAAGCGCAAAAAATTTTTGATTACACCACGCACCTTTCAACGGGTTCGGGTGCGGGAGAACAGCGATCAGTGGCGGCGAGTTCAAGACGGACAGCAGCGGCTCCAGGAGACGTCACCACACAGGGATGACATCCTGATACGGATATCCGCACGGTTCCCCTCAAGACTCAGCGAGCAGGCCGCTTCCAGTACTCGTTGGAGTTGACGGCGACTGTAATCAGTTGCAGAAAATTTCGACATCATGACGTTTCAAAACTGGAAAAAACCCTGATAAAGCCTACCCAAAGAGCGTCGTGCAATCCCGGGTCCAGTCCATGTCCGCATCGTCTGAATGATCGATGGGGGCGAAAGTGGTCATCAACAGGTTGGCGAGCGTTTGGCCGCGTTCGTGAAGCTGTAGCAGATCACCGTCGGCGTGCGGGTCGGCGACGGCGACGAGGATTGGAGGGTACGGGTCTGATGCCGGGTCCAGGTCTTCTTCGCGGATTGAACTGTCTGAAAATGGCTTTAATTAATTATATGCAAACGTTCCTCAAAAACCTCTGCCAGCATGCCTGAAAATTCCGCAAGAATCGCTGCTATTTTGCCCTACACTCCTAAAGAATCTCCGCGCGCCTGTCTTGGACGGGCAAATTCCTGAAGAATTATCGCTAGTAGCCCTGAATTTCCACAAAAAATCTCTGCTCGGTTGCCTACCAATTCCTCAAGAATCTCTGCAAGCCCACCCACCAATCAGCTGCACATGAATCGGGAAATTTTGCGGCGTATCTCCGTGCGAGGTTGAGTAGCAGTGGATCCGGGCGAGGCCGACGGCAGACTGGTACGGGTCACCTTTTAGCAGACACTAAAATTAGGGAAATCAACTAGAAAACAGAGCCACAGTACCGCCACGTCTGTCACGAACTGGGCAACGTGCTGAGGAGCCCCGCGTACGTTTAGGGTGACGACCGGGATGGAGCTTGGCTCGAAGCTGAAAATGTGCTTGCATTGTAACCGGTAAGCCTAAGCCCATCCTAAGCTAAGCCTAAGCCTAGGTCATCAGCCAACATACCCCATGAACTTGGTCAAGAGCCCGTCGTGGCCGACCGCATCCAGGCAGCGCGACCTCGAGAAGCAGTGCGACGGCTGTGGATGGGCAAGAAATGCGCAGAACGACGCGACCAAGCTGTCGCGAAGCTCCCAAAGTCGCGAGAGCTGTCGGTATCTGGAAGGGAAGTTTGCGTAGTGTCGAAATTGAGGTCTTTCCTTCTTGAACCCTTTAAAATTACCTAGGGTCCTCCTGGAGCACGGTGCGCACCAGGGCCAGCTCGCTCTCCGTGGGGGTGAAAACGGGACCCCGGATCTGCTGTGAATCAGCTCGACTACGCCGGATAAGCTGAAGTGGACTTTCAGGCTTGACTTCATGCTCACCTCCCCCGAACAGCTCGATGTTCTCCAGCAGGCACTCGGTGAACTCGGCCTCGGCGCTGCGGATCAGTTCGTTCTAAATAGGAGTTATCAGGAGCATGAGCTTGAGGCGATTCGAAGTACTAGTCTAAGCCTCGAGCTAAGCCTAAGCCTGTCTGAGCCAAAGCTAAGCCAAAGCCTAGCCCAAAAGCCAAAGCTAAGCCAAAGCCAAGCCAAGCTTAAGTCTAACCCAAGGCCACAGCTTCATCCGGAAATGGCCTCTGCCTCCTTGCTAAGCTCCAATCACCTGAAATCGGCCATAAACGGCTTCGGCCCGGCTTGGCGATAGGGCTTCATAAGCTGGAGCACCATTCAGGTACATCGTCACCTCGGCCAGGGCACGCCCCGCGCAGATCTGAAGTGTGAAGACTTTTTAGGGATGTTTCACAGTCCGCTTCTCCCTTTTTCTACACCCCCCCCCCCTGGTAAGCACTAGTTCCTCCTAAATACTCTAGCGATTTTTTTGTAATCTTTCAAAGCCTAAAAGGAACCGAGCCGGACCGAATTCTGTCCTTTATATCGTGGCTTTTCTGGGCTCTATTAGTGCGTTAAGTATACCAAAATGTAGCCCTTGATTTGGAGAATTAATTGCCACAATAAACAAGGCAAAAATACAAAATTTTCACGCTTGATCTAGAAATTTAAATGTCATACCTGCCCATTATTCGCCAGCAGGTCCTCAAAGTCGTCCTCAGCCTTTTCCAGGCGCTGCTCGTGCTCAACGTGTTGCTGGGAGGATCACGCATTAATAGGTGCCTCAAATGTATTTACCTGATACTCCTCATAGGTGGTCCGAGCCTCGTTTCGGAGCAGGATCTCAGCGGGGAGCCGCGGGTCGGTGCTCGGCCGGGCCAGCATCCCGTAGCCGTTTTCCAAAGGCGTCGACACAGGCTCAAGCTGCTTGCCTGACACAACCGGCTTTTAAGTAACTTTTAACTTGTTTTTAAAAAAGAGGCCCAATCGTTGTAGCTGACTGGTAAGGCTTTCACCCACCAGGCGCAGGGCCCGGCTTCAATCCCCGGCAAGTCAAGTCTACTGTTTCATTCCGGTGGCCGATTGGTAAAGCACTCGACCTATGGGGCACAAGGCTCGGGTTCGATCCCCGCCGAAGACAAACTTTTTGCTTTTTCCTCCAAAGGACCGAATGCCCAAAAAATGACTCACTCAGCTCGCCGAGCGGCTGGAAAAAGTTGTCAAACAGGGGTGATGGTGGATCATCTCGCTGGCCTTGCTCCACGTCGACGAGAGCAGCTCCTTTCGGGTCAGCATGCTCCCGAAGACGCGCGGCAGCTGGGGGAGCAGGGCGCGGAGTCTTAAATAGTTTAATTTAATGCCTAGATAGTTTTAAGAAAGCTTGAAAGAACAAAAATTTTGATGTTTAGCTTGGGGAAACTTCTACGACTCGTATATCGGCTTTTCTGGGGTCTATTAACGTACCGAGTATACCAAAATGTAGCTGTTAGCCTGGAGAACCGGATAGCAATAGATTTAGGCCAAATTCACGGAAGAAAGAGCAAAAAAATTAAGTTTAAAAAGCACGGACAGATGAATCTACACGTTCGTGCGTGAATTTCCTTAACCATACACTCTATTAATGCATCAAATATACCAAAATGTACCTATCAACTTGAAGGAAATGATACCAACAACCTTAAGCCAAAAACACAAGACCCTCGTACCTAGCCTTCATCCAATGCTCCCTGGCCTGCTCGACGTGTTTCCCATAGAGGCGACGCGCTTCCGAGATTCCGTAGATCCCTAAAAACCGGGCTATAAACTACGCGGGACAACACTTTACGCGACGAAACGCTGGTAGAGCTGGTTGCGGTTGATGGAGAATTCGACGAGTAGCCGCTCCCAAGAGGGACGACGGATGGCCATTCTTCCACGGGGACACAGCCCTTCAACACCGACAGGTACGATTCCCTGGAATCGGGATAAGGTAGATGGGACGAGGTACATTTTTGAAATTTCTTTTCTCTTTTTCGAAACTCTTTTTGCCGAATGGCTGGGAATTTTCCAAGGATTAGGCTTAAGAAAGAAGCGCCAAACTTGCAAAACCCCATAATACCGACAGCTGAAATCCCTAAATTTAAAAAACCCCGACAGTTATGACCCTACAGATGAATCTGGCTTTGTGACATGATGACAGTAGTAATATGTCGGTATTTTGGCTGCCGTGATTTTAGTTGTCGGTGTTCAAGCTGCCGAATTTTTAATGTCGGGATTTTAGCTGTCGATATTATTCTGGCTGTCGGGATTTGGCGCTGGAATTTGTCTGGCCTCAGCTTAAAGGTACACTAAAATCTCGTTCAAAAATTTTTGCAGGGGTCGGGAATTTGGGTTCTCTGCCGCGCCTCGCCCCAACCCTTCATATCCCTCTCCCTCTGCCCTCTCGCGTCTGTCCCATGGCCCAGTGGTCTAAAGCGCTTGCCCCAGGCGAGTTTCGCGGGTTCGGTTTTGCTCCGCGGCGAGCGCCTACCGTAACCCTGTTTGCTATCCCGCGGACGGTTACCGGCCGGTAACCAAACCAACGCGGCTTTGTGTACCTTAACGCAGGCGTAGCTTACTTAGGCTGAGCACCTAGCTTCCCCCCTAGCGTATGACACGTATCGATTCAGGAAAGAACTTGCAAAAAGATTCCTGTTCCCGTAATCCCGTATCATTCCGTATCATTTCGTATTCACGGGGAATCCCCGAAATGGAACCGAAGAAATGCCTGGGGTCCCTTCAAGCGGCAGAATCGCCGGCCGGTGCCCTCAAAACGAGCTCATCAACCTCCCACAGCGAGAGACACTCTGCGAAACATATGCTAATTTTGGCGGGTTGAGGCGTCGAAGAGTGGGGGCGGAGGCGATGTTATAGGGCCCACTAATTAGTGGGCTGGGATGGAGGGGCCAAATGGACGTTTGAAGAGAGAGAGAGTGAGAGAGAGAGAGAGAAAGAGAGAGTGAGAGAGATACACTGGACCACTTCTCCTACCTTGCCTCCATCGCCAACAAGTTTGCCGTCTTCAACGCTTCCGGGAAAGGGAAGGCTAGAAATTACGATTTTGAAAATTCCGATTCCGCCACGCACCTTTAGCCGATGCTTATACTTGAGCACGATCTGCGCGGCCAGAATGAACAACTCGTCAACGTTGACGCGCTTCACCGCCGAGGTTTCTATCTGAAAGACAGGAATTGAGAATTTGAGCTTAAGTTTAGCTTGGGCTAAGCTCAGGCTTAGGCCTGACTTACCAATGGGAAATGGTAATGATCGAAGCGTCGTGCTTTGCAGGGTGCTGAGCAGCGCCGTTTTTCCATCTTCTGACGAGGCGTCCGATTTTGAAGCGGTTACGATCACGGGCTTCTTCGTTTTTACGGCTTGGACGAGGATTTCTGAAAGCACCTTTTTATCTCTCTCTCTCGCTCTCTCTTTCTCTAGCTCAAAACTAACGTTGCGCCTGCGCCAAATGTTTGTGCCAATCCCTTCCATTAACTCTGGAGACGTCAAAAACGTAGAGAAACGCATCAACCACAGTCTTCCCATCCGGCAGTACTCGCTGCGGAAATTCGGCTTCTTGTCCGAGTTGCTCCTAAAGATTTGATTTATCTCTGTTTCTCTCTCATTCTCTCTCTATCGCATCTCTCTCTCTCTCTCCTACCTTCTGGATGTACATCAACTTGTCGCGCGACTCGAGCTTGGTCGCAGTGGCTCGTCTAGGGTAGGCCTCAGATATCGATGGGCCGGCGAGCGGCTCGAACTCGACGTCGTCGAGGAACACGGTCTAAACGATCGTTGTTGAATGGCTTCGTTTATCTCTGAAGCCTAAGTCAGCTAGCCCAAATAGTCCGACCTGCTCGATGACGCGGATATTAACCGGCCCCTCGTCCAGCGGCACTTCCCGCTCCCCCAGAACAACCAGTGCTCATTGTTGATGACCGCCGATCCCGAGAAGTCCGTCTAAATGTTTCACAATTTTTTTCTTGTAATCCATCATTTTTCAGATCTGCCAGGCCGTTCAGGAATTTCCCTGAGACCTCATCGTCTCGATAAAAAGGTGAGGAAGTGTGTCATTTGAACCAGAGCAAACAAGAAACACAACGCTACGCTGCGCTGCTTCCGCGCCAACGATTTTTGGGACTGGAGCGAGATAGAGGGAGAGGGGAGAGCGAGGGAGACAGCGAGAGAGATAGATAGAGATAGAGAGAGAGAGAGAGAGAGAGAGAGAGAGAGAGAGAGCAAGCACAATCGGATTTTTTAAAAGATACAAACCTGTGATAAAATAGAACTATGCTCCGGGTGAAAATCATCGCAATCCCCGCGCAGAAATCGATTACATAGCAGCGATTTCCCCACGCCTTGTTGGCCTGGAAAAATGGTTTTGGAGTGATAATTCTAACAATCGAATTTGCTAGCATAATACCGACATTTCATAATGATAAAAAGCCGACATTTCGAAACTGTATAATCTTGATTTGAGATGTCGAAGTTGGCCATGCGTAAATACCCCGAATTTGAAAAATACGAACAAAATTTCGAACTTTTGACAGATTCAAAATTCGACGTTATGAATTTCATATCCTGAATTTCGACGTGCTGAATTTCGGCATTTTGAGAATGAGCTTGCCCTACCTTTCAATTTTCGGTCCCCGAGACCCCGATGACGGAGAGGGTGACCAGCCGGGGAGCGGATGGCATTTCTTGCAGCTAATTTTTCAGAAATCACTGTCAGCCAATGAATAAAGTCATTTTTCGGGGTTAGACGGTGTCGTTAGTAGCCTCACGGAATAAAGGAAAGTAGCGGAAACCTGAAAATTCATTAAAATTTGCAGAAAACGTGAAAAATGAGGAGACATACAAAAATCAGGGTTGAAAAAAACGCATTTTTGAAAGAAAATCAGCAGAAACTAGTAATGAAGGTGAGAGAGAGAGAGAGAGAGAGAGAGAGAGAGAGAGAGAGATAGTAGCAAGTTCCGGGCCCAAAAATCGTGATGGGACCATTTAGGCCAGACGCCGAGTCGTTTTTTTGCGTTATGAGGGTCTAACGAGAGAGAGAGAGAGAGAGAGAGAGAGAGTACGAGAAGCAACATGTAAACAGTCACATGTCCTCTCCCCCTGGGGTCCTTGGGTCCTTTTGGGCCCTTTTCTGGGTCCCACTTTTGTCTCCTCCCCCCACCCAACTGATCCGCCTTGGTTTCAATGGGTGGTCGGCTTCTCCCCTCGGCTTCACACAACCGTGTGTGCCATTGTTTGCTCGCGTACACCGCGACATACAAATCAACACACCAACACATAGCATATCGCTTTCCACGCGGGTTTTTGTGGAGTGCAACGGCAAATTCTGAAGTCTATTAATGCGCTGAGTAGAACGAAAAATTAAAGATAAATGGCAGAAAAGGTTCAGAACAAACTTCTAGCCTTTGTATCTCGGTTTTTAAAGGGCCTATTAATGCCTCAAATACACTAAAATGTAGGGGGGAAAATGGGGAAAAGGCGAAAATGGAAATATTTGAATCTAAAGCCTGGCCGGACCGTCGAGACTTCGATTCGGAGTATCTCCGTGGTAATATGGCCTATTAATGCGCCGAATATACTAAGGGTTCAGCTCTTGATCTGCCGATCAAGCTGTCAAGAATTGTAGGTCGAAAAAATTGACGAAAATGAAATATTGAAGTTGAAAGCTAGACCCATGAATAGAGGGGCCTAAAGGCCAAGCTAAAAATTGCAAAGGCCCAGTCACACGCATAAAACCGTAAAAATTGCGCATGAGGCCCAGGCGCCACAAAAAAAAACGGTGAGCAAGAGGGGGAAAGAGAGTCGATTGAGGAGCCGAAGAAGAAGATTAGGATCGCTCTTGCGGGGTGGTGGGGAGCACGGTTGCCCCCTTGCTCCTCTCTACATTCCATTCGAATCCTACAAACGGAGGCTCGGGAGGGGGAGGGGGGGAACATCCGGAGGATTCCACTTTGTCTGAATATGCCGTCCCCCTGGGCGCTGGATGTAACATTGTTTACGCGGCGGCTAAGGCAGGGCTAAAATGCGAGATGCCGAAAGGTTGCCAGATTGCCTTCATCAGCCCTTTAATTTGACATTTACCTGCCAAATATAATTTTTTAAACCCGAAAAATTGGGAAAACTTGATTTCGCCTATTTGCATCTCGCCTACCGCTATTTCGCCTCCTCTTATTTCGCCTACATCCCATTCCGCCTACATCTTATTTCGCCTACATCCTATTTCGCCTACATCTTATTCTCGCCTACATCTTATTCCGCCTATCTCTCTTATTCTCGCCTACACTTTATCTCGCCTACATCTTATTTCGCCTACCTTTCATTTCGCCTATACCTTTATTTACTCATACAACGTTAGTAGAGCTTCGGTATATAGTATCTTCCATGATAATAAAGCTGAATTGCCGTTTAGATAAACACCATGCTAAAACAAGCCGCTTTTATCTTTTCCACTGACAGGTCCAAAGCTGTTCGTTTTTGCTCAACAGCATTAAACCATCTATATTTGCACGGGGTTTTTCCGCGCACGGGGGTGCGGGGGCGGGCCAAGGCGGCGTCAGGCGGAGGGTCAGGTCTGATTCCTCTCCTCGCGTAAAATCATCACATGGTTTTGCTTTTTTTGCAAAATACTACAGAAAAAGCGCCGACAACAAATCTGCGGCGAATCTCAGGCAGAAAATTAGGAAAATGAGGCCCTAACGAGAACATCGTCTTGATAATCGCTTCAAAGCGTTTCAAATCCTTGTTTTCCTCGCGATCGCTGAGATTCTTTTACCAAATGTTCCTCTGAGGGATCTTCACAAAATTACCAGACGGAGAATTTCTAACATTTTTCTAGAAAAAAAAAGCAGCCATTAGAAGGGATTTTCTATCACATTTTGGGGCGAAAGGGGCGTGGCCCGCCCATTCCCGTCTCCTCGGTGCGCGCCCCAAGGTTAAAAACCCTGTTTGATATACTGAAGTTGTAATAATGCTTGATGCGCAAATACAGGTAATATGCAAAATAGGCGAAATGAAAGGTAGGCGAAATAAGATGTAGGCGAGATAAAGTGTAGGCGAAATAAGAGGTAGGCGGAATAAGATGTAGGCGAAATAAGATGTAGGCGAAATAGGATGTAGGCGAAATAAGATGTAGGCGGAATGCGATGTAGGCGAAATAAGAGGAGGCGAAATAGCGGTAGGCGAGATGCAAATAGGCGGGATGAAATGAAATCGAAAA